CTTGGACTATTTTGTTTCTTTGTAAGATAAAAAGATTCCACAAACTCAAGATTAACTACTGGTTTATAGTAATAAATTATGATAGTACGAAAGAGGCTGTTCTATACCAAATCATGCAGGTTAAGTTACTATGCAGTGTGTTAATTTTTTATCTTAAGGGATGACTCAAAACCAAGCATGCCCATCATCATGATCAGGATCAAAGGTTTATTAATAACCACCATAATGATCTGTCTAAAAATATAACTATTATAAGAATTTTATGAATCCTACTAAACCATGAAAGGACTTTAAATATTGTAAAATTATACCTGAAACATGTTCAGCAGAGATAACGTGTGAAGGCCTTATAGAGGGAATAGCATTTTTCAACGTTTGTTTTGTTTTATTCACTTTTGTCTTAATATATCATGGGGTAGTTGTTTATACTCTGTTATAAGATCAGGTTATAAATAAGTATATAATTAAACAAGAGGCATTGACCAAGGAAATGCTTAAATGTGAAGTGAAGGTGATCTCAGCTTCATGTGTGCAAGGCACATTGTTGTAAATTGCTTGGTTTGAATTGGCTGGCTGTGTAATCTGAGTGAGAGATGTCTAAAGCTCCATTACTACGGAACAATTGAGAAACAAAACTTTTTAGGTGTGAGATGTTGATGAAACCTTGCAATAGAGCTAACCAATTGATCTATTTTCTGTCCTTAGTTTAAATCCTACAATAATATTTTTATAAGTATTTTTAGTTATTAAATAGAAAAATTAAGTACAAATTTTCTAAAGTATTAAATATTTTTTTCATTTAATACTTATTAAAAAGATTTACAGAAATATATAATAAAAATACATCATAACATTGTTAAAATGAACAGATAAAATAAAATGGGTGAACAAATGAAATATAGGATAAACCTAAGAGTTGAAATACTTTAAGCCACATGTGTTGGATAGGTATCTTTCATTGCTGGCCAGCTTTAAGTTATTGTCCAACAAAAGTCAATTTCACATTATCAACGGCGAAAGAGAGACAAGCCATGTTAGGATGTCCATAATACTCTCTTCTCTCATCTGATAAAAACAATCGATTAAATTTTTCTATTATAAATATTTGACACCAATAATGTTTTATAAATTTTGTTGAAGTAAAACTATTTTTTTAAGGGAAAATATATGATGCCTAAAATTAATCTTCTATATTTTCAAATTGGATAATCTATATCACTCACTAGTGAAGCGAAGGAAACAGACAACAATTGTTTTTTACAATACGCTTCGATTTTCGAACCGAAACATATCTGACAAGGTAAAAAGGTTGGGGATTTTTGACATCGGTTACAACCAAGGTAATATTCTGAAGGCTACTCTCTCGGTTCTTCAACAACCCAAGTAATAAAGAAGAGAAAAGAAAAGGGGGAAGGGGTTATTACCTCGGTTCAACCGAGGTAATAACATGGAGATATGACAGCGATTTTGGCTTGAACCGCTGCCAAACCCCTATTTTTTTTTAATTTCTCGTGCACCCTATGGCATTGGTTGTGGCTGAACCGATGTCATAAGGTGACTTTCTACCTCGGTTTTGGCTACAATTGAGGTCTATTCTCCTGCAATTTTTTAATAGCAGGTCTATTTTTGTGATATCCACTATCACAAAAACAGACCTGCATATCAAACACAGTATATACAACACAGATTCAACACAATATTCAATATTTACATCACATAATGTACAAAGTTTAATAACTATAAATCAACATGTTGTAATGTATTTTAAATCTAATAACTATGAACTATTATATAATCTAACTAAATGTTTTGCAAGTGCCTTCCTCAGGAATGTAAGTGGCTTCTCAAGAAGTAGAGTAGTAGTCTTGAATCTCTACACAAGACAATTGATATTAATTAGTGTATCTGAATTCCAAATGTTGGAGAAAATCAAAATTCATTAAATTTCAATATTACCGTTTCCCAACCTCTTGTGATATGGGCACGAATAATGTGGGTCTTCCAATACATTACATAGTATCCACACTCATATGACACACTCTGTCTGTTACACTACATTATATCATCACAGTTGTAAATAGTTAGTGAAAATCATTAAAACAAAAAACTATAAGAAGGTATGACTTTAGCATATGTTAAACCTTGAGAGCAACCCATGCAAGCTTTCTACCATTAGCAATTGAACTCCTAACCATAGAACTATATAAAAAAAAGGTTTTAGCATTCATTTATATAACAAAGAAAGTCCAAACATTGAGGTTCTTACCAATCAACTGCTTGTCTGAGATGTTTGGGAGGAGACTTGTGCAATGAGCAGAACCACAAAGCATAGCTCTCCGATATGGAAATAACAAGTAGCTGTCAATGGTGTCTGAAACTGATAATAACTTAATTGTTATATATTAAAATCACATATGGATCATTATGAAGTTAACAAACTTCACTATATAAGGAATAAAATATATTTCCTTCACACTTCCTAATCTACTGGTGAGATATGTTGTGATGTCATCAAAATCATTTTCTTCGTGAATGACTTGGGGATTAATGAACCCATAGACATCATTGTACCCCAAGTTGTTACTAACACCAAACATATATTTGAAATCAAAAATTACCTTTGATATAAGTATACTTGATATATCAATTTTATATAAATAATTGCTCATAGACTTACATCATCCATAGCTGAATTAATGTAATATTCAACTCTTCTTTTCCTGACGCAAGCTCCCTAACATCTTGGCTATGCAGGTATATTGAGACCTCAGAGCCTCTCCCAAATACATTAGCATCATATTCAACCTTCATAGGCTCATCTCCAATGATGTCACAAAGTTGTTGCAATGCACCAACAGGATCGTCCTCAGATAAACGAATCTTCTCTTGTCCATGCGTCTGTTGTTACATAGAAAAATAGGATAAGTTTTGACATCAATAACATGTAAAATTTAAAATTGACAAGTGTAAAGTAGAAGTCCATACCGGGGGGTCAGAAACCGAACCAACCAAGTGTTTAGGCCAAGCGATAAAAGACTGGAATGCCTGTGCCACAGTGAAAATCTCATTTGTGGGCAGAGGAACTGAGGCATCTGGTATGATAATGTCATCTACTGAGACCTTCACCTGATCCTCTGATAGCTCCATACCATGAACAACAGTCGCTTCCTTAAACACTATTCCACAAGCTACCAACATCGTCCTGGTACCATCTAAAGCGTATAGCAGACATGGACTAGCATCGTCCATGTCATCCCCTTCATCCCCTAGGACGGCTAGTGTTGAACAACTTCCTTTCCCGCTTCTCCCTGTCTGAGTAAATGTTATATTATAAAAATAATAAATTATTGAACATAAATGTTTATTGATTTTACCTGTGGAGGCACAATAGGTTCTTGTACTGGAGATGGCTGTGGGCGCATCCCATAACTCTCAAATTTCTGTTGGAAATGGCGCATAACTTTGTTAGTCACTTCTGTAGTGACTTCATCATACAATTTTGTCCTAAGCTCCGTCCTAAGCTTCGCCCTAAGCTTTTTTGAGATCTCTTGTGACAGCCTTTGTTCTTGTTCTTCGATGTATGCATTTGAAGTCTGATGCGAAGAACTCACAATAATCTCGNATATAATTGACCCGTCAACAGCTAGAGCACATAATCATGGGAAATCAAAGAATCATACAGGCATAATTGCAGGAGGTGTTGCTGGAGGTGTTGTTTTAGTACTTGTCATTGGGCTATGTGCTTTAGCTGCATCTCGTCGCCGTAGGCAAGGAAAGGATTCTGATGCAAGTGAAGGGCCATCGGGCTGGCTTCCACTTTCTCTTTATGGTCCTTCACACTCTGCAGTTTCTGCCAAGACCAACACAACAGGAAGTTATGCTTCCTCCCTCCCATCAAACCTTTGCCGTCATTTCTCATTTGCTGAAATCAAGTCTGCCACAAACAACTTTGATGAGGCTTTGCTTCTTGGTGTGGGAGGATTCGGTAAGGTTTACAAGGGAGAAATTGATGGTGGAACAACCAAAGTAGCAATTAAACGTGGGAATCCACTGTCTGAGCAGGGGGTGCATGAGTTCCAAACTGAGATTGAAATGCTCTCTAAACTTCGTCACCGCCACCTTGTTTCTCTGATTGGATACTGTGAAGAAAACACTGAAATGATCCTTGTTTATGATTATATGGCCTATGGAACACTCAGGGAGCATTTGTACAAGACCCAGAAACCTCCACTTCCATGGAAGCAAAGGCTTGAGATATGCATTGGAGCTGCTCGGGGTTTACACTATCTACACACTGGAGCTAAACACACAATCATCCACCGTGATGTGAAGACAACAAACATTTTACTGGACGAGAAATGGGTGGCCAAGGTTTCTGATTTTGGATTGTCAAAAACAGGTCCAACATTGGATAATACCCATGTAAGTACTGTGGTAAAGGGTAGCTTTGGGTACTTGGATCCAGAATACTTCAGGAGGCAGCAACTAACTGACAAATCTGATGTTTACTCATTTGGGGTGGTTCTCTTTGAGATATTATGTGCTCGTCCAGCTTTGAACCCAGCCCTTGCTAAGGAGCAAGTGAGTCTGGCTGAGTGGGCAGCTCATTGCTACCTGAAAGGCATTCTTGACCAAATCATTGATCCCTATCTAAAAGGCAAGATAGCTCCAGAATGCTTCAAGAAATTTGCCGAGACTGCGATGAAGTGCGTGGCTGACCAGGGTATTGAAAGGCCATCCATGGGTGATGTCTTGTGGAACCTTGAATTTGCTTTGCAGCTGCAAGAAAGCGCAGAGGAAAGTGGCAACGGCTTTGGCGACATTCACAATGAAGAGGAGCCCACGTATACAGATTCTAAAGGAAAGAAAGACTCTGATGCGATGGGGGGTTATGATGGTAATGTGACTGACTCCAGAAGCAGTGGCATTTCAATGAGCATTGGAGGTAGAAGCTTGGCTAGTGAAGACTCTGATGGGTTAACCCCAAGTGCTGTGTTCTCCCAGATCATGAATCCAAAAGGCCGTTAAGTTCGTTTAGTAACAACACTCTCACTGCATACAGAGCCAATCACTCATTCTGCAGTGCAATCGGCTTTCATCAAATTTGAATGTTACCCGTTATTCATTTTCGTAATATTTTTATTCATTTCTACGGTTGTTTCTAATTTATTATGATTATCTAAGTTGTAATTTGTGACCATGTTATGTAACGATTGAAGAGCGAGCATGTTATAACGAGGTTGCTATATCTGAATTTTTTGAAACCCTCAGTTTCTACCCAAGATGAATAATGTCGTGCTTTTCTTAGTTGGACTGTGCTTTTCTTGGACTATTTTGTTTCTTTGTAAGATAAAAAGATTCCACAAACTCAAGATTAACTACTGGTTTATAGTAATAAATTATGATAGTACGAAAGAGGCTGTTCTATACCAAATCATGCAGGTTAAGTTACTATGCAGTGTGTTAATTTTTTATCTTAAGGGATGACTCAAAACCAAGCATGCCCATCATCATGATCAGGATCAAAGGTTTATTAATAACCACCATAATGATCTGTCTAAAAATATAACTATTATAAGAATTTTATGAATCCTACTAAACCATGAAAGGACTTTAAATATTGTAAAATTATACCTGAAACATGTTCAGCAGAGATAACGTGTGAAGGCCTTATAGAGGGAATAGCATTTTTCAACGTTTGTTTTGTTTTATTCACTTTTGTCTTAATATATCATGGGGTAGTTGTTTATACTCTGTTATAAGATCAGGTTATAAATAAGTATATAATTAAACAAGAGGCATTGACCAAGGAAATGCTTAAATGTGAAGTGAAGGTGATCTCAGCTTCATGTGTGCAAGGCACATTGTTGTAAATTGCTTGGTTTGAATTGGCTGGCTGTGTAATCTGAGTGAGAGATGTCTAAAGCTCCATTACTACGGAACAATTGAGAAACAAAACTTTTTAGGTGTGAGATGTTGATGAAACCTTGCAATAGAGCTAACCAATTGATCTATTTTCTGTCCTTAGTTTAAATCCTACAATAATATTTTTATAAGTATTTTTAGTTATTAAATAGAAAAATTAAGTACAAATTTTCTAAAGTATTAAATATTTTTTTCATTTAATACTTATTAAAAAGATTTACAGAAATATATAATAAAAATACATCATAACATTGTTAAAATGAACAGATAAAATAAAATGGGTGAACAAATGAAATATAGGATAAACCTAAGAGTTGAAATACTTTAAGCCACATGTGTTGGATAGGTATCTTTCATTGCTGGCCAGCTTTAAGTTATTGTCCAACAAAAGTCAATTTCACATTATCAACGGCGAAAGAGAGACAAGCCATGTTAGGATGTCCATAATACTCTCTTCTCTCATCTGATAAAAACAATCGATTAAATTTTTCTATTATAAATATTTGACACCAATAATGTTTTATAAATTTTGTTGAAGTAAAACTATTTTTTTAAGGGAAAATATATGATGCCTAAAATTAATCTTCTATATTTTCAAATTGGATAATCTATATCACTCACTAGTGAAGCGAAGGAAACAGACAACAATTGTTTTTTACAATACGCTTCGATTTTCGAACCGAAACATATCTGACAAGGTAAAAAGGTTGGGGATTTTTGACATCGGTTACAACCAAGGTAATATTCTGAAGGCTACTCTCTCGGTTCTTCAACAACCCAAGTAATAAAGAAGAGAAAAGAAAAGGGGGAAGGGGTTATTACCTCGGTTCAACCGAGGTAATAACATGGAGATATGACAGCGATTTTGGCTTGAACCGCTGCCAAACCCCTATTTTTTTTTAATTTCTCGTGCACCCTATGGCATTGGTTGTGGCTGAACCGATGTCATAAGGTGACTTTCTACCTCGGTTTTGGCTACAATTGAGGTCTATTCTCCTGCAATTTTTTAATAGCAGGTCTATTTTTGTGATATCCACTATCACAAAAACAGACCTGCATATCAAACACAGTATATACAACACAGATTCAACACAATATTCAATATTTACATCACATAATGTACAAAGTTTAATAACTATAAATCAACATGTTGTAATGTATTTTAAATCTAATAACTATGAACTATTATATAATCTAACTAAATGTTTTGCAAGTGCCTTCCTCAGGAATGTAAGTGGCTTCTCAAGAAGTAGAGTAGTAGTCTTGAATCTCTACACAAGACAATTGATATTAATTAGTGTATCTGAATTCCAAATGTTGGAGAAAATCAAAATTCATTAAATTTCAATATTACCGTTTCCCAACCTCTTGTGATATGGGCACGAATAATGTGGGTCTTCCAATACATTACATAGTATCCACACTCATATGACACACTCTGTCTGTTACACTACATTATATCATCACAGTTGTAAATAGTTAGTGAAAATCATTAAAACAAAAAACTATAAGAAGGTATGACTTTAGCATATGTTAAACCTTGAGAGCAACCCATGCAAGCTTTCTACCATTAGCAATTGAACTCCTAACCATAGAACTATATAAAAAAAAGGTTTTAGCATTCATTTATATAACAAAGAAAGTCCAAACATTGAGGTTCTTACCAATCAACTGCTTGTCTGAGATGTTTGGGAGGAGACTTGTGCAATGAGCAGAACCACAAAGCATAGCTCTCCGATATGGAAATAACAAGTAGCTGTCAATGGTGTCTGAAACTGATAATAACTTAATTGTTATATATTAAAATCACATATGGATCATTATGAAGTTAACAAACTTCACTATATAAGGAATAAAATATATTTCCTTCACACTTCCTAATCTACTGGTGAGATATGTTGTGATGTCATCAAAATCATTTTCTTCGTGAATGACTTGGGGATTAATGAACCCATAGACATCATTGTACCCCAAGTTGTTACTAACACCAAACATATATTTGAAATCAAAAATTACCTTTGATATAAGTATACTTGATATATCAATTTTATATAAATAATTGCTCATAGACTTACATCATCCATAGCTGAATTAATGTAATATTCAACTCTTCTTTTCCTGACGCAAGCTCCCTAACATCTTGGCTATGCAGGTATATTGAGACCTCAGAGCCTCTCCCAAATACATTAGCATCATATTCAACCTTCATAGGCTCATCTCCAATGATGTCACAAAGTTGTTGCAATGCACCAACAAGATCGTCCTCAGATAAACGAATCTTCTCTTGTCCATGCGTCTGTTGTTACATAGAAAAATAGGATAAGTTTTGACATCAATAACATGTAAAATTTAAAATTGACAAGTGTAAAGTAGAAGTCCATACCGGGGGGTCAGAAACCGAACCAACCAAGTGTTTAGGCCAAGCGATAAAAGACTGGAATGCCTGTGCCACAGTGAAAATCTCATTTGTGGGCAGAGGAACTGAGGCATCTGGTATGATAATGTCATCTACTGAGACCTTCACCTGATCCTCTGATAGCTCCATACCATGAACAACAGTCGCTTCCTTAAACACTATTCCACAAGCTACCAACATCGTCCAGGTACCATCTAAAACGTATAGCAGACATGGACTAGCATCGTCCATGTCATCCCCTTCATCCCCTAGGACGGCTAGTGTTGAACAACTTCCTTTCCCGCTTCTCCCTGTCAGAGTAAATGTTATATTATAAAAATAATAAATTATTGAACATAAATGTTTATTGATTTTACCTGTGGAGGCACAATAGGTTCTTGTACTGGAGATGGCTGTGGGCACATCCCATAACTCTCAAATTTCTGTTGGAAATGGCGCATAACTTTGTTAGTCACTTCTGTAGTGACTTCATCATACAATTTTGTCCTAAGCTCCGTCCTAAGCTTCGACCTAAGCTTTTTTGAGATCTCTTGTGGCAGCCTTTGTTCTTGTTCTTCGATGTATGCATTTGAAGTCTGATGCGAAGAACTCACAATAATCTCGAATGCCTACTCCAGTACCACTAGCAGCACGCACACATCTAGGGTGCTTAGGTCGTCCAATTGCATGGTAAAAATATCCTGGCGATCCTCTGGAGTGAATTGACCTTGGGCGCTCTGCTCAACCAAGAAGTCATGTAACATAAAAAATCATCATTATTCTTTAAAAAGTTCAATGTATATATAATGAAACTATTATTCTTCTAGGAATAGTGATAACTTACAATTCTTTCAGATATTTGTCGTGCAGTCTCAGAAGAGTAGTCCCCTGATGATCTTAAACGAGCCAACTTCCACTTTTCATGCCGAGAAGGTGGAGAAGGAGGCTGGGGGCTACCACCCTCAAATGATGATCTATCTTCTGCCTTTTGCTTGAGGATTTTCTCCTCAAGCTTCCTATACCCACCACGAGATAATAGGTGGGGGTTCTTATTTTGAGCACTTATTCCTTGTGCTTTGTTTCTTGTTGTCTGTCACATATATTGAATTAAGTAGTTCATATGATATATATTTGTTAATGAAGAATTGAATAATATCAACTATACTAACCT